AAAATTATTAAAAAAAATTAAATTAACGAAATTATATAAAAAACAAAAAACTTTTAAATAGCTAATTTGATGCTAATATCGATATATATTTTTCAAAATTTTATGATATCTTCAAATTTATATTTTATTTAAAAATAAAAACAATATTGTTTTCTCAAAAACCATATAAAACTTTATTATAACATAGACAGATGACAGAATAAAACGAAACATTAAAATCGATATGTCTCTCGCTACATTACGTGAGTACCCTTCTACTAGTAAAAAAATAATCATATTTGAAACGAAAACATATAAAAAAAATTCAAACATCAAAACTTTTAAAGGCAGAAAAAAAAGTTCAATTACTTATATCCACATGTATGCATATATATATATATTGTACAGATGAATTATTACAATGGTGTTTCTAAGTATTGTAGATATAACTTTTTTAATTAAGAAACCTGTTGAAACTAAACAGTATTTTCAAAAGAAATATATTAAATCTGATTGGTTTTAAATTATGAAAGATCAGTTCTCAAACATCTGTATGTCTAATCTATCGACCGTTTATTAAATAAAATCTAGTTGTAAAATTTTCAAATACGACAAGTGTGAGCGAAAATCGAGTTGGTAGATGAAAAAAAGTTGATAAGATAAAATAAAAAAAAGGGGAAAGAGGATTAATTAAGTTTGAATTTTAATTAGGTGGAGAAATGATTGGTTTGGTTTGGTTGGATGCTTTTTATTTAATTAATTAATTAATAAGTGAACGAAGGTCTTTGTACCAAACAACAGAAGCATACCCCTTTTTTTGCATTTATTTATATAATTAACAAATAAATAAGTATGGATGGAGATTAAACAATGGAAGACACGTACCCAATAAACGCGTTTTCACCTCTATTTATTACGTTTTTTTATACAGATGCATGCAAAATATATATATATATATATATATATCATATTCAAGAAAGAATTGATTAGTTTGTGATAACTGTGAGATTCAATATCAACTATAAATCAAAGAATAAATTATGAAACTAATATTTTTGGTAATTTGACTTAAAATTATAATTAAATGATATTTTAGGTATTTTAAATTTTTTTATCTCTCTCTCTCTCTCTCTCCCCTACCTTTGGCCTCTGACGAACATTATGTGATACCTAAAATACACATAGATACACAATGTGATACCCAAAATACATATAATAAGATACCCAAAACACATCAAGTAAACTTTAAGACCACTGTGATACCAACTGTGGTACCACTGTCACAAGTGGATGTTTAGTGGTCGATCATCGAAGACGGCGTCTTGGTCAGACAAGATGATCGGAGGAGGTCACCTGAGTGGTGGTGGGTGCCGGAGAGGGCCACCAGATTTGGTCCCTGTGTGTCCGTGCGTGTGTATATACATATATTAAAATAATTAAACTAATTAATGGAATATTAAACTAATTAAAGTAAATTGAATAAGCAACATAATTTACTAATTTACTTTTTGTTTTATTTTAGTAAATAACATTAATTATTTAAAATGATTGCTTCATATTGGACCTCACAGTTACCACAAACTATCTAGTTCTCATTTGATTAGGCTTCTATATGTATAATATGCAAAGGTTCGTTTGAGAATGAGAATTAATATGAGAAGCATAAGAAAGGACATAGGCCCTTGATCACCTTTAATCTCAGACCTACCTGTGGATCGCGTTTGATACGGGAATTGTTCTGATGTATTTTGGTGTATATTATCCTAATTTGCATCTAAGGTTGGAGATTTCTTCTTACACTTCTCACCTTAACTCTGAAACCCACCATTGGATGCACATTAGGATGAGATGCACTGGATCAATACTCGTGTCAAACGCGATTCATGGACGGATTTAAGATTAAAGGTGATCAAGGGTCTAGATCGCTTCTTACACTTATCACTTTAACTCTCTTTCTCACACAATCCTTTGCTTATATATGTAGACGAAGGATCGTGTGAGAATAAGAGTTTAGGTGGGAAAGAATTTGGAACTTTGATCACTTTTAATCTCACCCCAACTCTTTGAATTGCACTTATCACGGGAATTGATCCAGTGCATTTCAGTGCTTCGCATTAGTGTTGATTTTTAATTATGATTGATCCAAGGATTGAGATCTCTTCTTATCTTTCTCGCCATAACTTCCATTTTCACCGGAACCAACACACACACACAATCATATATATATATATATATATATATATATATATATATATATATATATATATGATTGGTTTTCGGTGAGAATGAAAGTTATTGTGAAACCCTAAATCAATTTTAGAGTTCCCAAACTCTATGTCATTCGAACCTCTCGCTTCTAACAGCCTCACTCCAGCCTCACTCCCTCCACTGCCCCATCATTGTCCACTCTCCATCACCCAATGATAACATTAGGTGCGAGGGATTTGAATGACGTATGATTTGAGAACAATAAAACGAATTTATGTTTGCTTTACTTCAACATATTCGTAGCCGACTACAAGTAGTTTTATGGGTTAAAAGAATGTGTTCAACCAACCTTAACAAATCTTAACATAAAAATTAATGTTAAAATGCCTAGACATGGAAAACCAAAATAACCCTCCAGAAAAACGATCCACGATGGCCGGTTGCAAAGTGGTTCTCATAAAAAACGGGGGTTCTCACTAGAACTCAATCCTCATTTTCAATTTAGCTAAACTTCCCGATCTCTTTCTTTCTCTCTCTCTATATATATACTAGTTGTGTACCCCGTGTAATAAGACGGGATGTCAAATTTTCAAATAAGCCTACAATTAAAAATGAGTGCAACTATTTATTAAAAGTACAAAATTTATATTTAAACATTTGATCTTACATGGGAACCCTTAGAAATATTTAAACCTCGATTCCTTATAGTTGAGTACCCGTGCGATGCAATAGGATGTAATCAAGTACACTGTAACACATAAGGAACCAAGGTGAGTTTATTGTACATAGACATGAAAATCAATTATGTTGTCCAAATAATTATAATGAAGGAAGAAACAGATATCTAGTGAATACATTTAAAAAATAAATAAATTATCTTATACAAACCGAAATAGAAACCAACATCCACCTTTTTGCAAAAGAGAGATAAAATTAGCTAAAATAAAAGTTTGAATAAATAAAGAATGGTGTGAAGATACCAAAAAAAGAAAGAAAGAAAGCTCTTAATAAGGAAGTAAAAAAGCTGGAAAGAAATAAAACAAAGTTGTAAGTTTCAACTTAGATGTTGTTGGTGTTGTGTATTAACAATTGTACCTTATGCATGTGAAGTTGTAATTAAGAGATTTTTGAAATTTATGCATAAAAGGGTAGCATTTTGGGCTTTATAGGTTGCATTTAAGACTTTTGGTCTAAATGCTTATTAATATATATATATATATATATATATATATAGGGGCCTATTCAAGGGAGAACTGAGTTGTTTGTGGTAACTGTGAGAACCAATATTAACCACAAATCAATAGATAAATTTGGTAATTTTAAATTAAAATTTTAATGCAAGGATATTTTTGGTATTTTAAAACTCTCCTCTCTTCTCTCTCCGGCCACCGTCCTCCGGTGATACCACTATGATACCACTGTGATACCTAAAAATATTGACTCTGTTAAACAAAAGATACATTGTGATACCTAATCATATATAAGATGCATAGTGATACCACTGTGTTACATCTTCGATCGACCACACAAACGACATCAATGTGATACCCAATCACATATATGATGCATTGTGATACCATTGTAGTATCACCGGAGGACGGTGGCCGGAGAGAGAAGAGAGGAGGGAAGAAAATTTTAAAATACCAAAAATATCCTTGCATTAATATTTTAATTCAAAATTGCCAAAATTATAAATTTCCTAATTTATCTATTGATTTGTGGTCAATATTAGTTCTCACAGTTACCACAAACTAATTAGTTCTCATTTGATTAGGCCCATATATATATATATATATATATATGAAAATCAAATAAAAACCATAAAAAAATTGTAAATCCATGAGAACCGATTTAAAATTATTTTCTTATATGTTTTTTTTTTCATCAAATGTTAAGATTTTGTTTCACATATCTTTATTTCATAATACGAGTTTTTCACATATATTTTTTTCACTATGTGAATATTTCATTTCACTGTGTGAAACAAAAGAAGGTTTCACATGTATTTTTTTCACAATATGAACACAAACACATGTGATATGTGAAACAAATGATACAAATAATAGTTACTATGACAAGTGTAACAAGGGATCTAGACCCTTGATCACTTCGATTCTCACCCCATCCCATGAATCGAGTTTCTCACAAGAATTGATCCAATGTATCACACTTTTGTTGATCTTCAATTATGACTGATCAATGGTGAAAATCTCTTCTCACCATAACTTCCAACTCCCTTTCTCATTGGAATCCAACACATATGAAACAATACCTCAAAATAATAGCATTTGATGAAAACAAAATCGTATAAAAAATATTCATATATATATATATATATATATATATATATATAAAAGGAAACTGTGGATGGTGCAGCTTGTATAATTGGTGGTTTATTTGGACCTAAATTCCAAAAGCAGACAAGAGAAAGGGACATGTAACGTAATCCCCATGCTGGTGTGGGCTCCGACTCTATCCACCCCATTTGGATATTTAGTGGAATTTGGTATCTTTTAACCAAACCTTTTGCAGAAATACAACGTGGACGAAGGTGTGTAGGTGCACTCTTTCGCAGTGTGGATATGTTAACCAACATGTTAACTAATCAATTACGATAAATTGGATCTGATTTTACACTTCTTTGGTAACTCAACACATATACTCATTACCCGCCTATGTAATTTATAAACACATACATACATACTAGAAAAAACTGGCGTGCTAGTGCTATCGTTTGATAGTTTAATATATGTGTAAGATTCACACAACAAGGGCCAAATCCTCATTAGCCCGCTTGATCTCTTAAACAACTCTACAAGTTGTTTAAAGATTATAAACTAAGGAAGATTTTATCACTCTTTTCTAACGTGGGACAATTGATAGTGATTTGCCTAGAAGTCATATATATAGTCCACCGACACAAGTAAGATTCCAATATTCTTTCTATTCGGGACAAACCTCACAATGAAGACTATATATACAACATGCAGTGGTGGTGGTGGTGGTGACGACAACGGTGGGGGTGGGTGAAGTTGACAGTGGTAACGATAATAATGACGATGACCATGGTGGTGAGGGTGATGAAGGTAATGATATCCATCATGGTGGGATGGAACAAAATGGAATAAATATAAGAGTACAATAGTTTTTTTTTATTTAAATAAAATAATTTTGAAATTAATATAAATAAAAAAATTAATTTGGGATTCAAAGAGCCCAAAGCCCAAATGCCCTTATTTTTGACCCATCAAAACATATGTCTTAATCCAAAAACAACACAATCCTATAAAGCCCATATGAAGGTCTTGGTCCAATTTGATAACCCAACTCTTATTTGATATATAAACTACACAATCTTTTATTTCTTTCTATGTTGGATCAAGTCCATAAAGTTTCAACATTGCCAAATGGGCCAATCTTCTAGGTCTTAATCATCCATCTATTGTTTTTGCTCGTCGAAAGCCCAAAGTTTGTCGAGACTACATGGATATGACGTTTCCCACAACTTAGCTATGACAATTATATAGACATGAAAACTTGTGTCGTTTTGAAACAAATAAAGAACAATTTGGTTTACAACTTAATGAGCTTAATCATCTGAAGGGCTTATTCACTACGCCATATCATACTATTGATTTTCTTGAGATACCCACAATCTTTTCCACATACCTCCATCTCTCTCACCTATCTAATATATATATATATATATAGAGAGAGAGAGAGAGAGAGTCAGGTTCATAAGAGAACAGTAACAAAATAAAATAATAATAAAATAGTCGAATCACATGTGATTTTACACTAAAATCCTGTATAGAACAACATGTGGTTCACACGACTTTGACCGTGAAACCCATGTCCTTTTGAAACAGATAAGGGACTGTATGCTTACAGCTTAATGAGCTTAATCATCTGGAGAGCTTATTCACTAAGCCATATCATATTAATGATTTTCTTAAGATACTCACAATCTTTTCCACATCCCTCCTCCTCTCTCACCTATCTAATATATATATATATATATATATATATATATATATATATATATAAAGTTTCTATGAGGTGTCTCATACTTATGCTATCATGTTACTTATATAATACATACAAATCTCTCCATGATCCATAAATCTTTAAGCCACATGCACCCCATCAGTACATATTCCCTAATCCCATTTTTTATTCTCTTATTTTATCCACAAGTATGCACCACCACACCAATCTCCTTCTCTTTACCTTCAAGCTTTCTCATTTTCAATGTTCCTTCACAACCATTCCTTAACCCGACAATGAAATAGCTTTACAACCAACCCTTATTCAGCTTTATGCTACAAAGATTCATCTAAAATGGACATGATATGGTTGGTTTTCATTAAGCAAATGAATATATATATATATATATATATATACATACATACATATATATATATCGAGTTCCAAATGTTATAAATCCCAGTAATCACACAACTTCTCTACCAACTATATCTTCGACTATCTTTCAATTCGAAAGAGAGAAGAACAAAAATACAGATAAAAGAATGTGAAATCTTCATACGAGAAGAAGCTATTTTTAACCACAAGAATGAGTCCATATTTTGATCTTTACTCCTCAAACAGTGGCTGCAAATCAGTCCCAAAAGATGAACACATAACCAAGATTAGCTAAAATGAGATCATATATATATATAATAATGAGCTGAATCAACCAATTTCTAGAGCATGGTCTGAATGGAAACATAAAGGGTAAAAAGATAGATTGTTTTTACCTTCAGGATGATCTTTCTGATGATGTTCCATACAATTGAGCAAGTATTTGAAGGTTTCTATCTCACAAGGGATGGTGAGTCCACCACTGTGATCAAATCCAAACTCTTCCTCGACTTTTTCCAACAAAACTTTGAAAAGTGGATCGCTAAGATAGCTCGTGGGAATGATGAACCTTCGAAGCTCGGGGCCTACATAGACGGCTAAGTACCCTTTGGGGACATCATTTGGCAGATCAGGGCTCTGACAACCATCTTCAATGTCTGAATCAGAATACACATTGTAGCCCTTTAACCTCATGCTTATTGCTGGATTGATTCCGGAGACGGAACGATTACACGGAGGAGGAGGAGGAGTATGATCATCATCATTCCCTTTTGCCCCAAGTGTCACATGTTGCCATCTTTGGATGATTTCTTTAAGTCTAACAATCTGACGAATGCCATTCAATTTGGCTCCACCATTCTCATCCATTGATGTAATCAAGCCTCCTAGAATACCAAGATTGAAGTCTCTTGGAACCAGATCTTCTTCTTCCTCAAGCTGCACTTGAACAAAATTTCACGTTAGATGTGCTGAATCAACAAGATGCATTAGGGTTAATGTGTTCGTTGATCTTGGTGCCAAAAGATCACACCCTTTTATCGAATGATTGGAATTGGATTCGTGGGTAACATCTAATGCAACAACAGCAAGTGCATTTACGAATGATCTTGAGAAAACACCAATTTGGAACAGAGAAATAGATCAGAATCGAATAAGACGAGACATGAAACACAAAACATCAACATTTCGTAAAACGAGAAAAGAAGAAAAGAAACCTGAAGGTGGTGGACGGCAGAGGTGGTGGAGGCTGAAGGTAAGAGGTGATAGAAAGAAGCGATAATGTTGTGGTTGATTTGGAGTAGAAATAAGAAGAAACAGAGAGATCTGAATGGAATAAGACTAGATTTTGGTGTAGTTAACCAACAACAAAAAGGGAATTTGATGGGAAAGTGTTCGATTTTGGGTTTGCTATGCGACTTCCACCCTCGCCTACTCTCTCTTTTAACGTCTTTTATGCATCATGAAAGCCAGAGGTTATGCTTCCTTTTGTCACCAAAAACATTATTGTATCTATTCTAACATTTGACAAAAATTCTTAAAAACCATTTTTATACACAATTGATATTACTTAAAATTCAAGAGTACAAATAAATTGTGCATAAATACAACTTATTAAATCTCCATATTTAAATTTATATAACTAACTGCAAATAAACATAATCAAATACAAAATAAACATTAATTTAAAATATAGAAAATATAAAATATAATTAAGATAGTTTTAAGAGAATATTTAATTATTATCTTTATAAAAAGTGATACTATTAAAACAAAAATAAATTAATTTTTATTAAATCTAAATTAAATTATAATAAAAAATTGAATTAAAAAAGTTACACAAAAAAAAACAAGAACTATTAAATAGTTAATTTGATACTAATATCGATTATTTTTCAAATTTATATTTCATTCAAAAATAAAAACATTATCGTTTTCTTAAAAAACCATATAAAATCGTATTATATTGATAGAGTTAAAGAATAAAAACTAAACATTAAAATCGAGATTTATCTCGTTGCATTGTGCGAATATCTTTTTAGTAAATAAAAAAACAAAACATTTTATTTTATATGTGTTTTTAAGGACAACAAAGTTAAGGAAAATGGATCATCACGTTTACGTTATGATTACCAAAAGATACCCGAATTTTTTTTGGTTTAAAAACACCAAAATTACGGATATGGTCCCTAAAGGTGTGTTATTTGTTACGGATTTGGTCTTTTATCTTCATTTATTACAAAAGAAACCTTCATGTATACAGTTTGTTATGGATTTGGTCCTTGAGACAAACGGCCGTCTATTTTAAATTTGAAATGTGGTTGTTGGTTATTCCTTGTGTTTTGAATGAATTCCGATAAGATTAACAGGCCATGTTCACAATGTGGTCACGTTGGTTCACAAGATGTTTCATAACCCAATCAGGGGCGGATCTACCATGTAAAAGGTGGGGGGAAGGGCCCCCATTAAAAAATTTAAAAAATGAAATTTTCTAAGGTTAAAAGTTGTTTTTTTTTTACTTTCTACCATGGTTCTCCTCCGTAATTTCTTGTTAGGGCCCCCACCAACTAAAGAAAGTATCTTGAAATCAACCAAAAAACTGAAAAGTTCCTTGAAATCGATAAAAAAACCTTAAAAATCCCTCGAAATAATCCAAAAAAAACTTCAAAAATCTCTTGGGATAGTGGAATTAGGCTAAAAACACATCGGACGACTTTATGGGCGTTTAAGCTACATTAAAGGTGCCCCCATCAGACCAAAATCCTGGATCCGCCACTGAACCCAATGTGTATTGGTGCAAGTGTTTACAATGCATAATCATATGATGCTCACAACGTGTTTTGAAAACTCGAGTACATTGTGTGTTTAAGAATAGGAGTTCTTGTGTAACCATATGGTGGTCACAATATGCAATCATATTGAAGTGTGAGGTTTTTTCTTAACAGAGAGAATTACATTAGTGGTCCCTGTAGTTTGCTCAAATTTTGAATTTGATCCCTAAAACAAATTATTTATACTAGTAGTCCCTAATTTTTCATTTTCATAGCAACCATAGTCTCTCCATTTAACAAGTTAGTTAGCACCGTTATCAAAGACTAAGCGTTCTTTGAACAAACTATAGGGACCAAAAATGTAATCCGTTCTAAGATTTAATGCAATTCACGTTTTTTTATAAATTAATATATTTAAAAATATTATAAAATATACAACTTTTATAAAATAGTATTAAGAAGTTGTTTATTAAACTCTTACCGTGTAAATGTTTACCATGTTTCTTTATTTTACTGGTAAGTATGACAAGAACCAAGAATTTTACCCGATAAGAAGTATAACAAGGATAAAAAATCTTGCCTAATAAGCGAGAGAAAAGACTCTTATCCGGTAAGTATTTACTGGGATAAAGACATTTATTGCCAATTCAATTTCATGAACAAGTATGTTAGCTGATAAGGTAAGTAAGAATGATAACTTTTACTAGTAAACACTTATCCGGTAAATATTTTATAAACAACACGTAAATTTAAAAAATTAGGGTCGTCACGTCGATCGTGATCAAACCAAAAACCATTTCTTAGGAAGAAAAGCCCGGTCTTGAGTCTTAACTTAAGCAAGGCAAGAACCGGATCGGGCCTAGGCCCATTTACATAGTTGACAATTTAATTATTAGAAAATTCTATTAAACATTTTAATAATATCTTAGCCTCTTCATGGAATATACACATTAATAACAACTTTGATATATTATTATGTTAATATGACAATGATGTCACGGGTTTTGGGTTTCAGTGAGAAGAGAAGTTATATTGAGAAGTGTAAGAAGAGATATTAACCCCTGGATCAATTATAATTGAATGTCAATACTAAGTAAGTGCACAAAGATACACCAGATCAATTCTCTTATAAAACGCAATTCATGGGTGAGCATGATATTAAAAATGATTTAGGTTTAGATTACTTATTACGTTCCTCACACGATCTTTTGCCAAATGGAACCTGATTTTTCATATTTGAGAGCATCTACATTCTACAGTGAGACCTACAAGAACCTCATTTTTCATATTTTTATCATTTCATATCATTGTGACGTTAGCAGAATAAGAGCTTCAATAAAACTCGAAATATAGTTTTTTACAAAAACCTCACTTTCCATTTTTAGATATAAAATGTAACTTTATTTAAAGCATAAGAACCTCACTTTCCATTTTCTGTCACATCAACAAAATAAAAATCTCAATAAAACTTCACAACGAGGGTTCTTACGAAAACCTCAATTTCCATTTTTTATTTATAAAATGTAACTTTATTCATATACTATTTTATAAATTTAATATATAAGAAAACCCTCTATATATATATATATATATATATACTAGAAGAGTACTCGCGCAATGCAGCGAGATATATCGTGATTTTAATATTTCATTTTATTCTTTATCTCAGTCGATCTTATAATATGACTTTATGTGATTTTGAGAAATCGATGATGTTTTTATTT